TCTGCTGCTGTTCTGTCAGAAATGTTGGCCGTGAAATGTCTCGAACAGAGACCTGAAAGCAGGACCTCCTACAAACGAGACGCAGGACTCGATCAATGCCGTGTTGCTCTCAGCAGGTGGGAACCGGTTGGCTACTGCAGTCTTCGGGGAAGAATGGAGCAAGGGACGGTCTGCTCTCTTTTCAAATCAGCACTTCCTTGTGTGTCCCTACACACTCACATCAGAGTACCGCAAGGCAGATATCCATCGTAATTGTGAATTTGTTTGGACAGCCCAACTCTTGCCTCATTGGTTTAGACTGGTGTCTTTTTCTTTTCTTCTCTTTCTCTCGCAGAGTCTGTTACAAAACACAGTTAATTCATCACTCGACATAATAACGATATCATCAAAGAGAGAGCTGTGGTCTGCCTTGTCCAACATGCACTTCGTTTAACAAGCAGATATCTCCACCACAGGCCGCGTCCGTGCATCGCGCAAGGCCTGTGCCTAGCGTCTCAATTGTCACATGTTCCTTCCTCCGGTACATTACAAGGACGTCACAGAGTCATCATCTCTCGAGCCATCTCGCTGTCATTCAAGACTTCCTGCCCGTCCTCTACATGAACGGAGACCCAGTCTGAGGTTAGATGCACACGGTCCGATACAAAATCCCGTCGTCCAGAGGTCTTCATTAATGTTTTTCCGTTTGGTTCCTATCAGGCCTTAAAGTAGAGTAAGTGGGATGAATGTTGAATACGAACTGCATTACATCTTTAACCCAGTCGCCAATTGCACCCGGAGAAAATTGCCATAACATACACTCGCCATCTTGATTTTAATATGGTAACGAGAAACTCGTTTCACGCATCGCTGCAGTGAGTGAGTGCCAGTCTGGAACTTCCCTGGCTGGAATTCACGCAGAAATTCAGCCCTCGTGCCAAATTCGAGCCCGTTGCTTCATCCCTCCCAAAACCTGACGACCCTGGCACCGATCCCTTGAAACTGAGAACTTAAAACTTAGAACAGGATTCCGCAAATGGTTGGAAAAAGGCATAAATCATCCACGGGAGACGCCAAACCGGTGACGGGATGCGAACTCGAGATCACAGCGTGAATAGCCTCTAACCCAGTGACCACTGAAATCGATTAACAGAGTTCTTCCTTAATCGGTCGTTAAGGTTCGGGGACCCGCTGGGACGAGAATTCAGTTCGTAGCCAAAGACGAATTAAGGCAGCTTCTTCACGCGCGATGTGCAGTGGATAGAACATTTTATAGATGAAAGATATAGTCCTGAAGATGGCAGTATTTTACGTGCATCCGTGCTGTCCAGTGGCAATGACATAAGTACATACTTTCACTGCTTGTAAACAAATCATGATGTAAACATTCTGCAAGCATTTGATCAACCGGTTTATTTACAGGCTACTACTCTCATTAATTGAGACTTTCTGCGCATTAATAACATGCAAACGCATTAAAGGATCGCTTAATTACCTCCGCTAACGAAACGATTAATACGTCATCACCGCTTGTCTTCCAACCTGTAGCGAGCCGCATATGAAGATCGCTCATATCAGAAACTTCGCCGATCTCACAGCAAGGCTTGCAAAGATGTTAACCCAGCAGGAAGCCAGCCGAGTGCTTGCAGAGAACATGGCCGTGTTTCTTAATTCATAACAGCCGTGTGGCCCATAACGCTTTATACCTGTTCCCCTGTTTCCTTCCACGCACCTAAATTTGCTACTGAGAAACTGGGCGAATCCCTTCACATCCTGTCGTCTTATTCCGACACAAAACTTGATCCTTCGGGATCGTAACGCAGCCCTGCCAACGGTACAGCGTACACAGTGAATGGTGAATAGGAAGTAATTGGTAAGGAGTCTGACGTGACCGATATTAAGGTACCGTGTGATCTGACAACGGTACAGCGTACACAGTGAACGATGAACAGGAAGTAATTGGTAAGGAGTCTAACGTGACCGATATTAAGGTACCGTGTGATGACAGAAACCACTGTCATGGCTTCATGTTCGGGACGTCGCGGCTCCAAATCTCGACCGTTCTGCCCGATGTTCTCGTATGGTTTTCCTCAGGCTTCTCCAGGAAAATACTGAGTTAGTACTTAAAATCCCTTGTCCTTAATTTCAAGTTCGTCACTGATCTTATGATTTGATGATACGTTGTCCGGCCTGCAAACAGCGTCGTTATTAAACTATAAACAAATATTTGTTTAAAAACTCACGAGAGAGAAACGAATACGTCAGCTAGATGAAAACAAAATTAAGGACGTATCTGACATTGAACGTCCAGAACCGCGTGTGTTTATTGGCAGGTTTATTAACGAACAGCGCGTGGAGATAAATGAGTATTTTCCACATGCTTCGATTTACATAACAGGAACTGCGGAAATTGGCAGACGTGACGAAGAATAAGTTGGAAAAACCGATGGGAAAATATCTCGAAAGCTTCAGTCTATATCAAAAACGAAGCAGCGAAGTCCTGTGACGATTATTAAGTCCAGTAAATGTTCATAAGCCACCACGAATAAATGTAAAGTGGCACTGATCGAGTTTCGAGGTTCTCAAGGCGAGAGATATTTAGATAACATTCTTCCGGGATGTTGCAGTCTGATAGAAATTTACAGACGTTTCAGAGGTGCTTGCTGCCTTCATCATCAGAACAATCGCCAGACTGCGCGGCGCCCAAAAAAAAGTCCTCTTCATTGAGTTGACTGACAACTTCATTTCTTCACGACAAGAAAACACGAATACGACGAGGCAGCAGGGAGGTTTTTCCGGATTCTAGAAGGACGACAACGCATTCAGAAGTGCCTACATGTTCATGTCTCGTCAGCAGACTCCAGGACAAAATAATCGTATATAAATCGTCTGAGAATGGGTCAGAATTCGAAAATTCTTGGGGACGAAGGCAAAATATAAAATATAAAATTAGAAATAGATTAAATTCGGGAAATAATTTCTGCTGCCATTCGTCTGTCCGTCCGCTATCTATAAATGCAAGAAAACAATTTCTCTGATGCTTTACATGGGTGTTAAACTCGGTCTATCAAGTTAAAAAGAACACACAGCCCAAGGGTATTTCAGAGGACACACCTGAAGAAAATATCGCATTGCACTGTGGAAAGCATTCGAGCACTTTCGTGGAGGGACTAAGTAAAATCAAGAAACAAGTCAGGTAAGACGTACAACCATTGGACTGAGATCTGAGCGGTAGACCTCCGAAATTCGAAACCAGAACCACGTCCATTCGACTGCATTTCATGGCGTAGACTGCCTGAAAAAATAAATCCCCGCAAGTTCCTTGTTTCAAGTAATGGAGTTGAAAAGGCGCCGACGAATACAAGAGAGTCAATATTCTTCACTAATCCATCGATGGCACTGCCATGTGACTTCAGAACAGCTGCGAGACAAGCCAAGATTTCCTCGTCGCCATAAAAATCTCAAAAGGATTAGTCCCAAGGCTTGTCATGCAAAATTCACTAATATTTCTTTTTAACCTGGAAGTAGACTGGTAAGTGAAGAGTAAGCCTGTGTCCGCCTGCATCATTCTGAACAGTCGTGTATGTAACCCGGAGTCTCCACGCAAGCTTCAATTTACTGCATTCAATGCGGCGAGACCATAGAGTAAACACACCTGTTGTACCGACACTTCATTAAACAGACGTCTTCAAAAACGATGATGGGATATACGTCCCACGGTTTCCCATGCAGGCCAACCTAATCAGCTGGGTGTCCGTTTACGTCACATCTTTTTGGTACAAATTAACGCGGAACGAGTTTCGGTAAGCGACAGGGCGCGAGGAATGAACCCGACCAACAGAGACTCGCGGCATTCCAAGTCCACGTCGCGTTTGAAAAAAAGAAAAACCGGACAGATTCCTAGGCCGTCTGCAACATTCTCTCACGCTAGATGCTCAGCGCCTTATCGGCTGTCCGAGACTGCTCGCTCGTTCGCACCTACCGTCCACTTCCGGGGGCCGTCTCTCTCCTCCTGAGGACGCTCTGTGGCTTTCTGCCGAACTCATACGTCACCCACACTGGCCATTTCAATTCCAGATAGACGAAGCCAACTGCACAATCTGCTGATGATGACAGTGTAGACAGAGAAGGTCCTTGATTTATCTTTCCCACACATTCCCTCTGCAAATTATGGAGACGGCAGCACAGTCAAAGGTGATGATGAATTGCAAGTTCCCCCAATGTTTAAGGAGTACTTCAAGTCAATATTCGTACTCTCGCATGTAAGAAATGAAATTCAGGGATCGTGAATTAGGTCACAACCGGTACCTTCAGGTATTCGTACTCTCGCTTGTAAGAAATGAAATGCAGGGATCTTGAATTAGGTCACAACCGGTACCTTCAGCATTCCACACATTCACTGATCAACCTGCCATTCGACACTTCGTGGTCTGGGAAATTAAAAGCTTTGGTAAATAAATCAAGAACAAACTAACTAACAAACACTCACTAACAGAGACGGTTTTACAAGAATCTGCAACCGTAATCTGCCATCGCGAAAGAATTAAATCCGCTGTTGAAATCTTACGTTAAACGTCAGTGTTCTACACATATAAGAAAGTAACATTTACGTAAGAGGCGACTCAGATTCCACTGTGGAGTCTGGTTTTTACATTTCCATAAACTGTCTTCAATTTGAAACATACACCAGACCTGTCATATATATATAATCTCTGGCCTTCGGAAATTTCTTAAGGAAGAAACAGTAAGCCTTCAATTGTCTCTCGCCAACTCGCGAAGTACAGAGATCGCCAAGAATACTGCCACATACATTCGACATAGGCCTACTTCAGACAATGGACACTGTCCAATACATTATCAGCCTGATGTTACGGACGTTTAGGGAATCACTGCAGCATCGCGACCCTTCATCGGCTTCAAACTCCCAAAAATTATTTTTTTACAATCATTATTTCTCCAGTTAGTTACAAATGTTATTCTGAACAGGCATGAAACATAAGATCTTAATTTTTTTTTCGTAGCAAGTACTGACGGAACACGTGGTTTCTGACCACGTGACGATCATTCTGCCCGACATTCACCCTGACGACATGCAGTGGCTTCTGGATTTCATGTACACCGGGTCGGTCGCCGTTCCTAGAAGTCGCTTGTCGTCTTTCCTCCAAGCAGCTGAGGCGCTGAACATCAAAATTTTGACCGACGTGGCTCAACTCCAGAAAACAACCGACAGTAGCTGCGTCGTCTCGTCTCCAGTGCTAGTCTTCAAACTAACAAAAGATCCAAACTTCCGAAAACACCCCATAAATCCTAATACAGACACTTGCATTATTAAGCCCCATAGTTTGACTGAAGACTGTAAAAATTCTTCATGTAAAGATGATGCCAAAATTAGGAGTGATTCTTCGAAGCTAGTGACCGATAAAGAGGACTTTAAGACTGTGACGGAGGACAGCAAGAGTTGTGTGTTTATGTGCTCTTCAGATGTTTCGTCTTACGTGCCGAAACGTTTTCAAAGTCCCATAGACAGCCACAGCATTTCGTGCAAGACGACATC